GTACAGGGACAACGCACAACAACAGTGTTGTGCCAGAGTTAGCTATAAAGCTAATTTGCATCTGCAGTCCCTGGGCAGGATGTTGTTACAAAATTACAAAATTCAGTTACAAACTATACAATACATACAACACATATAATATCACTCCATTAAATTAAAAAGTCAAGTCAATTAGCACATATTTGATTTTCCTTAAGCCATACTTTAAGCGTAGTTTTAAAAATACACTTTGTGTACCATTATGGAGAGTATCACGACGCATGCGCGAACTTCCGCTTCATATAAACAATGCATGCACGTGCTGACGCATGTCCGTGTTGACATAAGCAGCGGCGCAATGCGCATGCGTTGTTTACATGAATCGGAAGTGCGCGCATACGTCGTGATACTCTCCAAAATGGAGGCAAGCCACAGCAGACTGGATGAGGAGGAGAAGAACTGTTGAACAAAGTTGTTATTTTTGTTTTCTTTGCGCACAAAAAGCATTCTTGTAGCTTCGTAAAATTACGGTTGAACTACTGATGTCACATGGACTACTTTACTGATGTCCTTACTACGTTTCTGGACCTTGATCGTGGTAGTACCCTTGCTGTCTATGGGAGGGTCAAAGAGCTCTCGGAATGTATCAAAAATATCTTAATTTGTGTTCTGAAGATAAACGAAGGTCTTACGGGTTTGGAACGATTTGAGGGTTAGTAATTAATGACAGAATTTTCATTTTTGGGTAAACTATCCCTTTAAATATTATCAAACAACTGGGGGAAGCTTTTGAAAATAAGAGTGAGAAGCTGTTTCCTTCCTTTAATGAGTCTTTTATTTGTAGACTCATTCTCTAGTTTAATCTATGGGATAATGCTGCATATATTTGTCTATGGCACATTATTGCACTATACAGTATTTTGTCATTTTTGTTTCTATCGTTAGATGTGTCCTTATTTCTTGTATTATGATGCTATCGAAGATACTGTGTTTCGTTTCTCCCTGAAGCCACTGGCAGATGTTTTTATAGACAATATTCAACTGGAGACTACTCAAAAGTTGTATGAATCTATTCAAAGAAGGTTAGAAGCTGTATTAAATTCAAACTGTGCTAAAACACCTTAATAATGACATATTGCCTGTTTAACAGGTGTTCACGTTATTTTGTCCAACCCCTGTGCATTTATGTGAAATTAATTCTTGAATGAGGAAAAAATGCAGAGTGGGACTTGATTTTGTTCATTCGGACTGTTGTCATTTGCCTCTGAGTGGGAGAGACTTGTGAAGAAAGAAGACCGAAACCTTCAAGCGATTCACTATGGAGTTGTGGTTAGAGAAAAACATGACAATGGAAGAAAACAGTGACTATTTAAAACAGCTATTTAAAACTTAATGTCATGGACATTTTATTGTACTTTACCTATTTCATTTCAAACAACTTTATTGTCATTATTGTGTTTTTGTCTAGTGGCATTACATTTGCCTAAACGTTTAGGCCCATTGTGCCTGACACACTCAGTATGTACAGCTCTCTCCTACTGATGATGTTGATCTGAAGTAGGTGTGTTAGATAAGAGACACACAAAATGTGCAGAGCGATGGGGCACCGGGACCGCAATTGAAAACCAGAAGCTGTTTTAGAAGCTATGTTTTATTTAAACAATGCTAGATGGCTGAAACGGCATCTTGTTTAAATGCCTGCAGTTTCATTAATGGCACAATTTCATTATTTTATGAAATGTTTTCACTTTTGCTTAAATTTTTTTTTTTACTTTTGCTTACTTTTTTTTCCTGTTGATCATATTATTATTATTATTTTAGGCCTACGTCATTCCTTCCAATCTAATGAAAATTTCATTCAAATCAAAATAAGGTTTTTCAGTCCAAATGAGTCAACAATGTGACACTAAAGGACTTTTTGGTTGCATGTAAACATAGTTAATGAACACGTACTGACAATAAATATACTTTTCCTTTTTTTCATGATAAATCAATCGGAGTCCAAGATACGTAAAACCCATTAGGAGCTTTGATTCCTCCTACTTGCCCTGTCCGCTTGGAGCCTGTTAGACTTCAACTCTGTCAGGATCTTTAAATCGGTAAAAATCACTGCAGAACATTTTAAACTCGTTATTAATAATGCATATGTCTAACTAACAAAATTTGCCACAAGGTTTTTTTTTTTTTTTTTTTTTAAAGGCCATGGTAAGATCGTATGGATATGTAATAAAGTAGTACAACAGAAGTACTTTGAAGTAACGTAAATGCCATGGTAGTGAATGATTACCACATTAAAGTATGGTACATATATTAAGTACCAATCAAATGCCATCGCTCTACTATAATGCTGTCACAGTTTCTGGTAAGAGAACTGCAATTCCGATAAGTTATACACAGTATCAGAAAGGGTGTGTATACTGCTTTCATCTTTGCAACCTTTGTCATTAAACATCCACCCCATTCTGTACGAAAAACATTCTCTCACTACTGCGCGGATGACACACTGAAATTGCTTGATCAAATGTAACACCTGAATTGTGACATTTAAATAATATTGCGTAATAAAAAGCATCTGAATCTATGTATTTGGGCCCACATGAACAATTTACTTGTATGAAACGAAATCTTAATTAACGTTACCTTTTCTGGCCTGGTTGCGAACCGTCTTCTTCTGCTTCATGATAACAGAGGGAAAAAGTTTGAAGAGGCTTGATAATGACTGGTTAATCTCACGATTTAAAAGTTCTGCATCTCTAATTGTGACTTGTGCAGAAGGCTCGTCTTCCTCTTCTTCGGGTCTAATAGCAGATTGGTGTCGTAAGCACATACCGCCACCTACTGTACATTGGGTTCTTCTTCTTCCGTGGGTTTAATGACGAGTTGCATTGGGCTCTTATCATCATGAAAATACTTTATGGGCGCTTCTCAAACGGAAGGCTGCATCTTATGAGGACGCATCAAGGCTAGAGTCATGCTCAGCATTAACGCTTGAATGAGACAGTCTAGTAAGTGTGGATGGATATGAAACAGAAATACCATTAAAATTATAATTTGAAGAATACTTATTAAAAATCTTAATATTAACTAGCCTTACAACCGAACAGTACAGACAACCGTATGTGGTTTCTCAGTGGTTTACATTTATGCACAGTTTAGCAGAATGATTAACTTACAACAACAACAACAACAACAACAAAAAGAAAACAATGCTTTATTTTCCAAAACCATTTTTTTTTTGTCTAAGGTTTGCAAGAAGGTTGCTCTTCAGGAGCAAGGTTGAAGATCCCTAGTGTAATGAATGCCTGATGAAACACTAGGGTCAGTTGTGGAAATTCCACTCGCCCAGTAGGAGTCAGTGCTGTATTTTTAGTGTCTTATGTTCATTTGTCATGTAGCTACGTGTGATATTATGCCTTGGCTTGCAACCTTTAAAATGTGGTTTGCTTTTATGTATTGAACACTAATTTAAATATATGACCAAGGCAGCATTATCTAGCTGGCTATTTTATATTTTGTCAGAATTGCAAGATGTTTCATGAAGACAGTTAAGACAGATTTTATAAGCATCAACAAACAAGTATTGCTTTTGACTGTATGCCACTGTTTAGCTATAAAATTATGAATTTATAACTGTCTTTGGAGTTATATTAAAACAGTAGAATTTATAATGACTATTACTATTATAATTACTATAGCAATTAAAAAAATCTAATTATTTTATAAATGTAACAATAGAATTATCTTATATTATTATTATTATTATTTATTTATTTATTTTTTACACTTATGGACAGAAAAATATGTTGCTAAAAATAAAATGCATAATTTTTTTTGGAACCAGTGAAAATAATAGATTTTTCAGTTGTAATTCACAGCCTGACACTGTCTAAAGAGGCTTTAGATGAACATGTAATAGCAAGATAGCAAAACAATGTGCTGCAAAGGTGTAGTCCTATCTGCAGAGACACCAAGAAAAAAAAAATCAAGTTTTGGTGAGGAAAGAAAACTACTGTTTTGTTTTAAGTATCAAACCACACAGGCCACACAAACATAAACAATGTAAAGAAGAACAACAAGAAGAATGCATGGGCACAAAACTGTACTGCAATTATAACTCTTAAACATAAAGTCGTCACATTATTAATCTCTGAATTCTGTACTGTTTTTATACAAAACTATATTCAGCAGTGCATAGTTTTTTTAATGGCTTTTAGAATGTAATTTTAACAGCATTATCATTATGACTGATTTACAGCATCAGCATGCTGTAATGCATGTTGATGATAATTCAGAATGCTTTTTGTGAGATATTATGTTGCGAGAAATTGAAATAAGCTTCAGGCTTAACAAAAAATATCTAAAGATGAAGGAGATGAATTAAAGGCATCACCCAACAATGAAAATTTGTCAACATTTACTCATCTGTATGTTGTTCCAAACCTTATTCTAAACCGAAGGAGATGCTAAGCAGAATATTCACACTACAGAATAAAATGAGGACATGAATGGGGACAGAGTACTTCAAGTCAAAAAAGCACTATGAATATGTCATAAAACTAAACCATATGACTTGTGTGCTGTAAGTCTTCTGAAGCTAAACAATAGCTTTGAATAAGAAAACATACTGATGCTTAAGTTGTTATTTGCTGAAAATCTCCGCTGCAGCTCCCTATTTGCATTCATGTATATATAATTATGAAGTGTGAAGACAAGTCACACCAACTTTGACATTAATGATGCCAAACTGCATAGGTCAGGGCTGTCCACACTCGGTTCTGGAGGGCCGGTGTCCTGCAGAGTTTAGCTCCAACCCTAATTAAACACACCTGAACCAGCTAATCAAGCTCTTTACTAGGCATAGAAACTTCCAGTCAGGTGTGTTGAGACAAGTTGGAGCTAAACTCTGCAGGACACCGGCCCTCCAGGACCGAGTTTGGACAGCCCTGGCATAGGTTGTTGCGTGTGTTATGATTGATCGTGATGAACCAGTTTTAATATGCAAAAGTGTGAATGACATTTGACAGCTATGGCAGAGGGGAGGATTAGTGAATTTAATCAGTGCATAATGACTTACATTCTAATGTGTTCCACACTATATTTGCCTTCATATGAGTTAGAACAGTGTTTCCCAACCGGGGTGCCGTGTAAAAAATAATTTTTTTATATTTTTTAAATTGCTAAAATGTTCAAAAAAGCATCTATTATATAATATCCATTTCTGATGTCGCCAATAATTAGAGATCCACCAAAATTTCGGCTGCCGCAAAATTACCCCACTGTAAAATTAAAAAAACACTGAGTGAGCAAAAATTTGTGAGATAGCTAGTTATAATGGTAATTAAATAATGTTTACATATGTATAAAAGCCTACATTAAAATCTGTCATATAAATTGGTCTCTTCATTAGAAATTGGCCTACTGATTGCCACCATTGATGGACAACATTTTTTAATATTATTAAAAATATCTGTATGACATTATATTCTGCAGTTCTTCCCTGTTGTACCGAATATCTATGCTTTCAAATTATGACATCGAAGTTAGAAATTCAAATATTGTGACAAAACTAATTTTGTAGGGTGCCACAAGTTTGTTAAAATTTCCAAAGGGTGCCGCGACTAAAAAAAGGTTGGGAAACACCGAGTTAGAATATAGCACAATAAGTTGAATAAATTACTTTACTTTCATGGTTTCCTTTACTTTTTAGGTTCAAAAGCATCCAACCCCACTTTCAGTGTAAGAAAAAGAGCAGTGTGAACATTTTGCATATGGCCTAACATTTTCTTTTGTGTGATACGTCAGAAAGGCATATGGGTTTGGAACAACATAAAGGTAAGTAAATGATTACAGAACTTGTCATTTTTGGGTACACTATTAATTTAAAGGAAAAACTGAAACAAATATCTCTCGTGTTATCCTTGCTTTGTCTTTCTTTGCCCGACAATAACCTCTTAAACGTACATAAACATACTTAAAATCACATGATTGTGGACACACAACTAAACTTGTGCTCCAAACAAAATGTGAGCCCTCCAAAAGCTGTGGCCAAATCATCCTCAGCTGTACAGTTTGATCCAAACGATCTCACACCTCAGGAATAGAATGGTCCATTAGTGACTTTACAATACTGCTGGACATCCTGCAGCGAGAATAATAATGTTAAGAATACATTTGTGAGACGCAATAAAAGAAGGGGAAAAAAAGATACTTTCAGTAAAGTTGCATGAATAGACTGCTGATTGACATTGGGTTTTGTCCGCCCGCGGTTTATTTTCCATACCTTTTCATCATGTGTTCAAAGATGACCACTGGCATCACAGTTACCGTGACAACTCCTCCGCTGGAATTAAGAATGTCTGTGATTTGGGAGTCCTAATCAAAGAGATGAAAAGAGAAGAAAATATCTTAAATTGAAATCAAGTGCTTTACAGGGCCATGTTGTGATTTAAGAGAGACAGCAAAAGAGAAAGAAGGAAATGCAAAATACTTATGTCATTTACCTTCAGTCCGATTATATTCTGACCATTGATCTCACAGATCTGATGATCAGTAAGGAGGCCGTTACGTGCAGCTGAGCTGTCTTTTACTATTGAGGTGATTCGACCCTTTTTAAAAAGAAAGCCGAGCTGCCTGTTCATGTCCTGGTGAAGAGTAACAAATCGCTCCAATGGCCTGCAAACAGTAATAGTATTTTCAGTGCTGGTTTATAATTGCATAATGAACATGTATTTGATAGTATACCAGGCAACATTTTTTGCATGTTTTTTTTTTTCTTTTCAATTTTCAAAATTTTGCCAGGGTGTCCTAAGCAGGCTTTCCTTTGCATTTTCTTGTATTGCATCCTTGAATCCTTTCCCATATATGTAATGGTATTTCAAAACCACCTGTCACAGAGATATGGACACAGACAGAGTGAACTCAACAGGGTTTATTGGCAGATGAGATTATACAAACACAAGTGTTGTAGTTCCTTGATAGAGGATGAAACTGGCCAGGACTGGTCGGTGGAGACCTTCCCCGGCCCATCTGCACTCTGAGGCTGAGGTTATATCTGAAAAAACTGGCCTGAAGGCCGATGGAACTCACACTTTCTCAACCCAGAAAGTGTTTGCAGAGTTTTTCCAGTACAAGAGTTACATGGTAGCAATTTTCGGAGCCTCATTCTTGGAGTAGCCAAGGATATCATCGATACAGATGATGATGATGAAGTAATGAAGATACTCCTGGAATGCCTCATTCATGAAGCCTTGGAACATGGAGGTAGAGTTGGCCAAGCCATACGTCATTATCCGATGTTCATAGTGGTCGGTGGGAGTGACAAATGCCGTCTTACACTTGTCTCCCTTGTGGATCTGAACGAGGTTGTAAGTGCTACATAGGTCCAGCTTGGTGAACACCAATACTCCTTGCAGCTGTTTCAGGATTGCCAGGACCAGGGGAAGACGATATCAGAATTTGATGGTGATGTCATTGAGGGTGCAGTAGTCAATGTATGGCCTCAAGCCAAACAGAGGAAAATGGAAGAGGCAGGGAAAGTTGAAGAGTGGATGTAACCCTGTTTGAGTTCCTTTACACACTCCTCCATGGGAGTCAGAGACTTCCTAGGATGATATCTGATGTTGAGCCCTCCAGAATCAGGAAGGTGATGGTTTCAGAGTGAAGGCATCCAATGTGCAGATTGATCAGAGCAGTGTGGTGATACAATAAAGGCAGTCTATGTACAATTTTCTGTTGTCATTTGGCCTGGGAGAGTCAGAAGGAATTCATCTCCTTAGGCTCCTCGAAAGGCTCTGGAGGGTGTGATGAGCATGCCATGGGCGGTGACTGCAGGGCTGGCAAGTTGGTGACTGCTTTGCGATGGGAGGCACAGATGAAACACAGTTGAATGAATTGCTCCAGCCCATAACATCATTGTGGGTGGTGAGATACAGCCAGAGAGAGGGCTCCAGTACCGGTTCAGAAGGTTCAGAAGTGCAGAGCATAGTCAGTTATAGAGAAATTTCCTTGACACAGACGGTACAGTTATTCAGATTGCCTGGCTGCGTGAGTAATTGGGTGACCGGGTCTGGTTTGTAGATGGTTCAACTGCAGAGTACTTCCAAAGAGCAGAGAGATGACAAACACAATTTTGTCTCAAATCATGGGAAAGCACTGTGACTGCATCTTTAACTGGAGCAAACAGTGAAGGAGAAAGTTACTGCAATCCTCTGTCACTCCCGATTAGGGCACTGGAGTGACCTGGCATAGAACTGTGGTGCAGCAAGGGAGATGGAGGTGAGGTAGATGAGAAAGTGGTCACATTTTGGCTTTAGAATGCAGTGGAGCAGCGGGAGTTTCACAAAGCTGCTGCAGAGAAAGACATTGTTGTGCACATAGTGATGATTGTCTGGTCTTCTATCATGGAGAGACGAGCGCAGACAGAGGAGTGATCTCAACAGGGTTTATTGAAAGGCATGAGAAGATACAGATGGTCGAAAAGGAGGAACACAAATCAACCAAAAACTTAACTGCCGGTAACAAAAGATGCTTTCACAAGTTTTTGAAAAGGGGCTTCTGAAATGTACCAGCTTTTTGGCGTGTTCCAATTTCCAATATTTGCAAAACAGCCTTTTTTTTTCACTTTAGAAATGTTGCTAAATGTTATATTTTTTGTAAAATTTTTGAAGTGTCAAAGTTTTGTCTGCATGACCTTTGAATATAGGGACAGAAATCTCTCAAGTTTAATTAAAAACAACTTATTCTGTGTTTTGAAGATGAATGAAAGCCTTATGGTTTTGGAGCGACATGAGGGTGAGTACTGATAAGTGAATCTTCATTTTTGAGAATCCCTTTAACGAAAGTGGTTTGTTGCAACTGCCTGATGAGCCATGACACTACAAACCTACTTCAGTGAAATACTAGCAATAAAGTTCTATTTTGTCAGAATATGAAGTTAATTGTGAATGGTTATGTCATCTAAAACAAACAAACAAATAAATAAAATCATATACAGTGTATATCTGTGTATTTTCTATAATTTTCTATTTGGATAAAAAGCCAAATTTTATTTTCTTTATTTATTAATATAAATGTTATTTCACATCCTGCCAGTGTTGTCCAACAAACAATGTGCATATTGAAGGCTATGAAAACAAATACACTAAATGTAAAAATTTAGGCTATTGCCTACATGTATATTGTGTAAAATATGTAATGTTTTTAAAAAAGTTTAAGTTAAAGTTAAAAATCACTAGATAAAAATGAAAATAAAAATAATTTTTTGTAGATTTACAAAACAGTTCCATTCTGTATGAATTATAAGCTTGTTTCCCCATGGGGACCTAAAAAATATCCCCACAAGGTCAAAATGTACTGGTATTACTATACTTATGGGGGCATTTGGTCTCCATAATGTATGGCAGCGGTTCTTAATCCTGGTCCTAGTCACCCCCCGCTCTGCACATTTTGTATGTTTCTTCTATCGCTTCAGAGGTTTTTTGTTCCATTCGACTGTAAGTGCCCTGTGAATTGGACATCACAGGATATTCCGCCATGATTCCAGTTCGAAAGGAGTGTATATGTTCCATTCAAAGGGCACTAAAGCGCACGGGACATGTCTATTATGCAAAACTCATGATTATGGTTAAATAACCCTTGACAGTTCTGTAGTAAGTTTTGTCTGTTTATGAAGATGTTTCAGGCACCGATGCAGCACAAATCCATGTTCTTAAGTAACACGCACACACACAAATATGTTAACTGGTAAGAGGAACACACATTCACTCATCTGAGCATAGTAATTATAGCATACATTTGATTTACCACATTACCAGGGGCATAGCAGCTATTTTAAATGTGGGGGAGACACAACTGTCAGGGCAACATGACCCTCATGGGCCAAACAAATTCATTATGTACATTTACTACTGAGGTGAGATAACTGCTAAAACTCCCTGTGGTAAGAGATATCTAGGACTTAATTTGTATTTTCCATCATTGAGCATTTTAATGAAATGCAGTTTATCTAACAGTAGTATTCAGGTAAAAATGCTATAACCATTCAATAATCAAATGTAAAACAGAACACTACATAGTCTTTACTGTATGAATAAAATATACATTAATCCTTATTAAAGCTACAAAAGTCATTCAGTCAAAAGCAATGAGTGACTTTCTCTTTTTCTTTTTTGTATGATTAACCCTTTAGGCGCCAGGGTTTTTTTGGAAAAATGCTGGATTTTGACATCAAGATTTCAAAAGCTTGTGGCTTGAAAGGGCTTAAAGATAGAGATCTAATGTAAATTAGAAAAATGTTGGGCATGACCGAAAGTTTATTTGGGGTGTAAATATATCTAATTTGCATATTATGACGTCATCAGGGGGCGGCCCTCCTCAATGTCATAATATTCAGGAAATAATAGATATTGAATTGATGTTTGAACTTATTTGCGTGTTTTTTTTTGTTGTCTTTTTATCCTCATTCCAAATGATCGGAAAAGAGGAAACCAACAATAAAACAGCTCACAAATCTCACAGCTTACCCGCACGCTATAGATCTGAACTGCTTCCGCATCAATGACACGATAGCTCACTTGCTTTGCTCTTTCCTCAAACACTTTGAATAGGAAGGTGACGTAATTTTGGTCTAGAATCGAAGTACTACATGTCTGCCATCTAGTGGTAGGGAATACAAATGAGATATTACACCATATTAGGAACTACAGTCTATTTGATTAAGTATGACGTCTTGTCGCAATTTTGCGACTTTGGCGCTAAGAGGGTTAACATTAACGACACCGGACATAAGGACATAATAAACCCACTACTGTCACTTTAAGACCTAATGTACTGATCCAAGATATTGATACTGAATCACAACTGTTTACGTTCACTTAAGACATAACCGACTGAATACCTGAATACTCACCCAGACTGACATTCTTTAATTTATTGTGTGTGTTTGACCATTAAAGCACAATAAGCCATGAAAAATACAACTCAGATCGGCAATCCTATGCTTTGGGAAGCTTTCAGTGTGTCAGACAGCACAAGTACCATACTGAGTTTTTTTTATTGCCTATATTGCTCAATACCTTTTATTTTCTCATTCATGAGTTTTGAATGGGCCCTGCGTTCCCCCTCTCGCGAGGAGGGATCAGGTAAGTGCTACACTTCACACCCAGACCCCGCCCTCTGCCGTCACAGGCGTGGCTGTCAAAGGCCCCGGGCCGGGTCCCTGTGTTCCACCTTGCTGCCCCACCGCGGGTACGTTGGTGGCTCCGTTGGTTCCATTGGCACGGTGGTCTCGGAAATCGCAGTCCAGCTGGCGAAGGGTGCGATAGAGCCGGACCCTCCAGCCGATATGAGGACGTGCCCAAGAAGAGCGGTGGGTTACGACCAATCTTGGACCTGCAAGTTTTGAATTACGCGCATCACAAGCTGCCGTTCAAAATGTTGACGCAGAAATGCATTTTCGAGTGCATACCTGCCCAAGACTGGTTTGCAGCGATCGACCTAAAGGACGCATACTTTCATGTCTCGATCCTCCTGTGACAAAGGCCATTCCTGCGTTTCGCCTTCAAGGGTCGGGCATATCAGTACAAGGTCCTGCCCTTCGAGCTGTCCCTGTCGCCCCTTGTCTTCAAAGTCGCGGAGGTGGCCATTGTTCCCTTGAGAGAACAGGGTGTTCGCAT